CAAACAAACAAACAAACCTGTTATCAAATTTACAATAGTAGTAAAAGTAAACCAGTGTTATTTGGTTTTAAACTAAAATTCTAACAACTCAGATATTATTGAATACGTTCTACAGCAATAGAATTAGATATTTAAATCGTACCAATTTACCATATTGTTTTTCCATTCGTGAATAATTCGTGTTTTCGAAATATATTACGTTAATTTCCATTGTAAACTCCTTTGTATCTACTCTATGGTAAACTGGTAACGCTGCTCGCAGCCTCACGTTGTCTATGCGTGCTATTTATTGAGCTAAGGATGATTTGATTTGAAATAATGCAAGGTCAAAGGATCAAGGGCGACCGTTGGACTGTTGCGGATGAAAAACAAAAACTTTGTATGTTGCGTGTGTGTGTTACGTAAGTTCTCGTAAGTATAATGCGATTATGTACTGAGCAATATGAAAAAACAAATTTACATTTTTTTTTTATCGAACGTGAAATAACATACAAGCTAAAATAGCCTTTCTGATGAATAATGGTACTTAGACATGAACAGGTCAAGGGACAGAATATAGTATAGTTGGTGTGAATTTACAGGGTACAGAGGAATAACACCTGAGTTCTCAGGAATGGCAACGCATGTGGGGTATCATGGGCGAAACAGTATACTCTGTTATGTCCATGGTACTGGTCATGTCTCTAGGCGACTGTTACCACTTTCCATCAGGTGGGCCGTTAGCTTGTTTGCCATTCTAAGTTGTATAAAAAAGGAATATGCTTTATTCTAGTTTTTATCTGCGACTTCGTTTGTCAAATATAACCAGAATATATTTATTACCGGGATAAAATATCGTTAGATTAATAATTGGTCTAGCTGACTATTATAGCCATATACCAATCATTATGCCAAGCCTATATCTTCCTCTATCTCAAATATTATGTGTATAAACAATTTTATGACGATTGGTCGAGCCCATAGCGTTAAGAGGTAATAAAATTTACTTTCACATTTATGATATTAGGACTAGCTCGCCACTTCGATTTACGCGGCTTTGTACGCGCGAATCGATACTTGATTAAAATTCTACCCAACTTGTTTATTTACTGAGTCAGGTTTATATTAATAATGACATGCATACTTAAAACAATCTAAAATGTACCTTACATTTTAAATTTTTTTAGAGAAGAAGGCGAAATTTTGATTCTCTTCGAACATTTTTGAACTCTTAGAAGTGTCATCTTGCGAAACAGATACTTGATCACGAAAAACGTCTCTTCATTTGAAATTCACCCCATTTCGAGTGCCCGGTGTATAATCACACCCCTATTACTTCATACAACGAGTGGATTTTTGGTTCACAAAAAACCAGTGTGTTAAACAAGTTTAAATTAGAAAGTAGAATTATGTTTAAGTTCATACCATATCAGCTGGTAATTTCCACTACTGAACATAGGCCTGTCCTATGGAGGGTTTTGCTAGTAGTTGCCACGCTTAGCAGGCGGATTAACAACTGCAGTTTCGTTTTTCGCAATATTTTAAGAGGGACACTGTTGCCTGTCCTTCCGTCATAAGCTTTTTTAATCGCCTCTTAGCACACCCACGGGAAAGGAAGCGGTGGCCTATTTTATACCGGGGCCTATATGATTCATTGACCAGGACAAAAATATGTCCATTCCAAAAAGTTTCTGTCATTTTATCGGTAAAGCTGTTAAACTGTCAAGAGGTAACATCAATTAACAAACAAAGTCTAACGTAAAATATATTCTATGGCGACCATGGTGTTGTTTATATGTATTACAACTTTCTTTTACGTCGACCTTCAATTTGAGTTGTGTTATATAAAAAGATATACATATTGTTTATGAATTAAATGTTTCCTCATTTGTATCTAGCCTTGGCAACGAGGTTAATGTTAAAAGATTAATGTAAACGGTCGAAACCAAACAATAGGTACCTAGTTAGCAATCACTAAATATAGGCCAACATTTGCAAGTCAGATGTATGCTCCGGCTTCCTACAAACTGTCAATAATAGGAAGAAGGATAGGTGGTTGGGCCACAAACACTCCAACAAAAATTATTTTCGATTACTTTTTATTTTTGTGCGTATGTTACACGATATCTTTGCTTCTTATAATTCAGAGATGAGTTTGACAAATCTTGTTAGAATAAATTTATTTGGGTTTACTTTCATATTATTCTTAAATTAAAATTGTAACTATTAATGTTATATTTATTATTTTTTAGATGTACTGTGCATGTAACATATGTACTTAAAGCATCGGGTGTCAAAATGGGTCAGCTTTTAATTAGCTAATTTGACGTTTGATTGACTAAATGTTGACATTATTTTTTTTTTAAATTAAAACGAATGCCTTTTTAATGTTGGAAATAATTGAATTAAATGAATCTCAGATCAAGTATTTTTTTTTTTAATTTGAACTGAAAACATTTTTTTTATATTAATACATAATATACATATTAATATACACCCATAAATTTTTTTTTGATGGGTGTAAATGGTATGGTAACCCCGCCTGCGCTAACGGGATACGCTGGCGAAGCACCAGTGAAGGATGATAGATGAGAATGAAAACAGGCCAGTTAGCCCATTATGATAAATTCATCAGGAATTAACCATGATAGTTTTCAGGGGGAACTGCGAGGAGGTCTGTACTCAAATATAAATTAAAGTAATCAATAAAGATAAGCATCATCAGGAATCATTACATACTGTTTAACATTTTACCCAAGAATTTTATATTCCCTTTATTTTTTAATTTAACTTTATTATTGCTATACTGCGTAATAAATGTACATTATGGTAACCCAGTTCACGCACACATAGATAAAAAAAAGTTCATCTGTTTTTGGTAAAGTATTTGTATAGAGACAGTCTATCTGTACAATATACGTATTTTTTCTTGATGGAGTAAAATTCTTCGTGTTTTTTTTTAATGGGTGATAATAGAATGGTTACACCGCCTGTGCTGTCGGTATACACTAGCGAGGTACCAGTGATGGATGATAAATGAGGATGAAGTAGGTCAGTTAGCCCATCGTGACGAATCCAACAAGAATTGTTCACGATGGTTTCCAGGGGGAACCACGTGGAGGTCGACCTAATAAATAGCCCTATTGCTAGCAATGGGGCTGTCAAACTCCATTGCTAACAATGCCTTTTCCCCCAATTCTTCGTGTTGAAAAGCACATTATACTCAGTGCAGACTACGTTTACATTATAATGCCGGTCGCAGATTGTTTTGGATTCGATCTCGATTTGGTGTAACATTATCACAATTCTGCGTTCTAAATTCAAATATTTTCAATTGGCTGTGCCTTCAAAATGGCCTAATATCCTACCGCCGTCTTTTGCAGGTGAAAAACTCTTAAATGAAATTTGGTTTAACTAAACAATGTAAACAGAATGTAAAAATTGTTGCTAATCTAAAATGACTATGTATCTAGAATATATTTATAATATTTATTTATATTATTTAATATGTATTAGTTATTACATAATCTATCTAGTTTAGCATTAAAATTTGCATTGTGTTTACTTTGTTTATAACGGAGTAAAATGATATTAGCATATTTGCTGATTTTTAATTAATCACGGAGTTGGATAATCGGCATCGCTCGGCGGAGGTCGCGACTAAAGTGTTTTTAAATTTAAATATTCATTAAATGCAAATATGGAGCTTTAGAAAATGGACAGCGTTGTCAACACATGGTTCAGCTAGAGTGGGGATCAGCATTGCAACTCATTCACAGGTGATCATCGACTTCATAAATGAAAAGGTGCTCAGTTTAATTATAATTTGAGTATTTTTTATGTAAGTAAATAAAATCTAATAATTATAATAATAAATATATAATAATTTATGTTATCCGATAGGGATCTACGAGTATTACATCATTTACAATGATTTATAAATCATTGTGAATGTGATGTAATTTATTATAATAAATTAGGAGTACATACATGCATATAAAGTCATAAATATTTATTATTTTTGTTATTTCAGCCGTTACCTGTCCACTGCTGAACATAAGCCTTTTTCATAAGGGGAGTCTTGCCAGTAATTACCACACTTGGCAGGCGGTTTGAAAACCGCAATTAGGCTTCTAGAAATGTTTTAAGAGGCGACTAAAGGAATTTAATGGTAGAGATATAGGCAGCAGATATATACATAGATAGATAGATATTCTTTATTGTTTCCTCCAAATGTTTACAGCAGTGTCGCTCTTAAAATATCTCTAAAAGCCTAACTGCGGTTGTCGGCCTGCCTGCCAAGCGTGGTAATTTTTGGAAAAATTCTCCTTATGGGCAAGGCTTATTACGTTCAGAAGTGGACAGTTAACGGCTCAAATGAGTATCTATTCTATTCTACATTCGATTACAGACTAGTATTATGTTCAATACGTTATGTCATTATTTAAAAAGTTCAATAACTTATGTACTAATAATTTATAATGATATTAGGGGCAATGAGGACACAATAGAGGGAGACTTTGTACAAAAGTCGATTGCTCGGCTACCTCTGTCCCATTCGTGTTTCAACCGTGAAGCAGTTGTGTTTGCACGACTGTGTTTCGGTTTGAAGGGTGGGATATGGCGTGAATTTACAGGGTACAGAGGAATAACACCTGAGTCCTCAGGAATGGCAACGCATGGGAGGTATTATGGGCGAAACAGTATACAGTCCATGGTACTGCTAATGTCTATAGGCGACGGTTACCCCTTTCCATCAGGTGGGCCGTCAGCTTGTTTGCCATTCCAAGTTCTATAAAAAAATTAAAAAAAAACTCCGTCTACCTCCACTCTGTCCTCTGTTATTGCTCCCTGTGATATACATACGTAATATACGTTTTGTTTGAGTCTATTTTAAATTACAGACGTGTATATTACTTGTATATATTGTGTACCACATTGCGATTTTGATATATTTGGCAATGAGTTGTTAATTAACAATTGTACGCTGTATGCACAGCACAGTTCAGATAATAGGTAATTCAATTTAGCAATGTGGTTGCCGCTGAAAATATTATTTTGCAAGTACGCACTGTGTTACTTCAGCGGTAAGTTATACATATGTCTATGAAAATATAATTCTAATTATATGAATATATAATAAAAAAAACCGGTCAAGTGCGAGTCGGACTCGTGCAACGAGGGTTCCGTACAAAATTATCAAAAATTTTTTTTGTGTAATAACTATAAATGTTTGGTATTCGGATTTTTTCCTTTATTTGTACTACATTACATTGCTTCTTGCTAAATTTCATGATTCTAGGTCAACGGGAAGTACCCTGTAGGTAATCATTCTCTTTGCAAATGTCAAAATATGCGATATAAATAGGTTATAAACGGCCGTATCTTTTGATTGAGTCGATTTACGCCGGTTACACACATTTTATAACATTACTACAAATAATATTGTATTTATGTCTATTTGTATTATTAGTTTGAGTACTTTTTGTGTAATAAAATGTGTTTTACCTTAAAAAAAGTATTTAAATGTTTTTTAATATATTTAAATATATTAAATATTTAGTAACCACAAGTGGAAGATCAAGTGGTAACAAAAAAATCAAAGTATCTATTGGACTTCTAACAAATACGAGTAATTCTATTAACGTAATTAATACAATTTCAGTTGTTCAAACAATATCCGCTCAAACATCCTTCATAGACATCCGAGACCAAAAGTTTGAAGGTGAAGATAAGCAAATTGTTAAAAATCTCGCTGAAAGGAAAAATAAGAGCGGGCTATTAGTACCACAATTACCACTAAGGAATCTCACCATTCGAATACCACACGAGGAAAAGACTGCACTGAGAAACAAAGAAGCTGAAAGGGATCCGACTGAGAAACATTTAAATATGAAGACAATAAATGTAATGCAGCAGATCATTTATGGCACGCAGTATCGGTTGAAGGACTTCGAAAGTCTTCTCAATAAATACTCCCAAGATTTAAGGTCAGATGCTTATATTTTTTAATGGGTGATAATGAAGTGGTACCCCGCCTTCACTATCAGTGTATACTGCCGGTGAAGTAGTAATTTTTTTTATCCAACTTAGAATGGCAAACACGCTGACGGCCCACCTGATGGAAAGTGGTAACCGTCGCCTATAGACATGAGCAGTACCATGGACATAACAGTGTACTGTTTTGCCCATGATACCCCATATGCGTTGCCATTCCTGAGGACTCAAGTGTTAACTACTTCACAGTTGAAACACGAATGGGACAGAAGTACTCAAGCAAACGAGTTTTGTATAAAGTCTTCCTCTGGTATAATTGACAATAGGCAAAGATAAAATCAGCTCAGTTAGCCCATCGTGACATATTCACTAGGAAATGGCCACGATAGTTTCCAAGGGGAACTGCATGGACGTCAACTAGACAGGGTTTTAGTAATGGGGTTACCAGTCACGGTTACTAACAAACTCTCTCCCAGCTTTGATTGCAACAGTTTAATATCATCCCCTTAATAGGTATGTGTATCTTTTCATAAAACCACAACGCTGATTGATGATGTCTTGATCATTTGGTACAGGGTTTTGAGTTTTACTTGTGTAATGTTGATTTTTATATCTTTTTAAATTCAAATGCCAAATTGATAGTTAATGTATTGGGAGAACCGTACGCATTAGATTTTTTTATTTCACTGTGATACCTATAATGCCATTCTCAAATTACTATTACTGAGAACAATATCTCGGTATGTTTTGATTTTACTACAATATTCCACCCTTTAAGCTGAAAAATCCATGTAAAATGTAAAAATATCCAGAGAGAATCTTTGGTTCATGGACGCAGATTGCCAAAGAAATTCTTTGTGTTTTGTAATATGACTGTTGATACGTTGAGTTGGTCTAATTATAATAATATATACTGTGTATTCCCAAAGAGGGTTGACGTCAGGCAGGTGGCCGGTCGTAAAAATAAAAACCAAATCTTTTGTAATATGGATAAAATCATATTACGCCGACCACAAATGATTGGGATAAGGGTAGGAAGATGATGATGATACTGTGTATTATATGCGTAAAGTGACAATGAAACACACAGTCCATCAAATAGTAAGCTTTAACGAAATTAAATACCTAGTGAAGAAGGTTTGAGGTAAAATGATGAACAACAAAGATGCAACAGCGGAATTGTTGTGAAGTAGTTTTAGCAAAGGTCATTTATTCCTAGGATAATTTGGTGTGATTGAAATTAAGGTAACTAATTTCTATAAATTGTAATTGCGTATTCTAAGTAGTGTGCATCTATATGCACACTACTTAGAATACGCGATTACAATACAAAATAAATCAGCGACCATAATCGTATAAAATTTTTTTAATTAACTGTTTTTTTTTATTACGACAACATTGTGATCAATGAGACAGTTTATTACTGACACCATATTTATTTCAGATTCCTTTTGTCATTTGTATTCAATAGGCTAAATACGCTGCAATTTGAAATGGAAGTAATATTAACGGTGACCTATAAGTATAGGGACAAGCTGAAGGTGTTCCAGCACTTGGTCTACCACGAACATCTACTTCAGAAGTACGTGGACATCATCTACGTAGTCGAATATCTTATAACCTTGCATACTGATTATATGAAGGAAAGACAGGGGCAGCAGCAAATTTAGCAAAGTATATAATAGAGTACAATCAAAATGTTTATTTTCTAAATCCTTTTGCAATATCTATCCACATGCTGAATATAAGCTTTCCCCTTGGTGGTTTTGTAAGTCATTGCCATGCTTGGCAGGTGCAATACAAGAAGTATTTACTTCATTTGTTTAAGCAACATAGAATGGCAAACAAGCTTGTAGATGATGATGAAGTACTACCTGATGTATAGATAGTATTCGTCGCATATAGACATAAACAGTACCATGGACATAACAGAGTATTCTGTTCTGTCCATAGTCCATGATACCCACCATGCATTACCATTCCTCAAGACTAAGATGTCATGCCTCCGTGCCCTGTAATTTCACTGCTATATCCCATCCTTCGAACCCAAACACACATGTAATGATTTTTTATTGTTTCTCAGTGTAAAAATAAAGGCTGGGTCATCTTTATTAGACGCAAATTAACCAACAGGAGCCAACTAACGTCCATGTACAAAATAAACTGCGGGTAGGAATCCTAAACACATAGCCGTTAGATAGAGGGCAGGAGGCGATATTAACATGTCCAGATAACAGGACCCTGCGGAGTGGCTTGTTTGAACAGGACACCCCAATCCCACTTCAAATATCGACAAATGGTCCCAATATCGATTTAACTAACACGTGCTTACTGGACTCCTCTTAAGTTGGTTACAAATGGCGTGGATTTTAATAGTACAAAATTTGCGTGTTAAAAAACTAGAGTATTCTGCATGCCATACACGAATTAAGGCAAAGGATAATATACATATATTATTTTCTCAAACATGCTTGGAAATGTGAGCATTATTTTGACAATCTTCTTCGAGATAAATCAAAATTGCCGTACTAGCCAGATACATGCGGGCAGCGGCCGGCAAAAGTTGTATGAAAATCCATATCTGTCGTGTTTTGCGGCCAGATAAATTATTATGTAAACTCATATCTGTCCTATAATTTAAAAATGGAATGACCTTTTACTTCGAAACATGGCTACCAAGGAGGTAACTAATACAAGGTTTTAAATTTCGAACTGGCTTGCAAATAGAAAGCTGTTTATTGAAAAAAAAAAACAAAGTAACATTATGGCGCGTGAAAATTATTAGTGTTCGTTATTCGTCATTGAACTTAAAAAGTAAAATTGTGTTTTTGATTTCCGCGCATTGTTTGAGAAAAGTACTATACAAGCCTTGGCCACAACTAGGCATTGATGGACTCACGTATATGTGCCTTGGCTACGCCTCGGCCCACATTTGCACGTTCGGCCATCAATTCTTCAGTTGCTGGCCGCTGCAGTAATGTACTATTATAGTTTGTATATTATTATTTACCAAATTCAAAATTAACACATTTCTCTATTGTTCCCTTTCACGGCTCTAGTTTATAAGCTTTCTTGATATTTCCAATTTCTATTGTTGGTTTCCTTTGTCGCCCACAGATTTTCCGTTCAACTGGTTAATTTCAGATATATTTTGCTTCTATCAGGATCGCGAGTAGGTGTAGTATTCTATGAAGTCGTCTCCATGGATACTTTCTATCTCGGCTACTTTCTATTTAGTTTCATTTACATAGTTTCAGTTATATCGGTTAAGGATATGAAGCGTTAAGCAAAATTGGCAATGCACAAGTGATATTTCTGATATTACAAAAGACAGCGATGATCGATTACCATTTGGCTCCATGGCACGCTTAGCGGTCACCTGACACACATCCTCGTCGTCTAAAAACCGTCCATCAGTATCATCACAACTCATTAAAATTCCATATTTAGGTGCGGGTGTCCCATGAAATTAATACGCGTATGTACATAAATTATGACCCTACCCTGTGTTGGGTTCACAATGATGAATGTAAATAGAATTAAGTAGGCACTTATCTAAAAGGATATACGTAAACTTTTTTAATAATGGGAGAAATTGGAATGATGAAATATTTAGCGCTATTGGTTTACGCTAGCGTGACATCAGTACCAGCGAGAGTTAGACGATAAAGTTAAATTCACCGAGATTTAACCCCAATAGTTGGGGGAAAGGGATTGTTAGTAATGGAGACCGAGAATCCCATTGCTAGCAATATATCCAACCAGGTCGACCTCCTCGCGGTTCTCCCTGGAAACTATCATGGTTAATTCCTGACGAATTCATCATGATGGGCTAACTGGCCTGTTTTCATTCTCATCTATCATCCTTCACTGGTGCTCCGCCAGCGTATCCCGTTAGCGCAGGCGGAGTTACCATACCATTTTCATTTATAAAAAAAAAACCAATAGTTTCCATAGTAACTGAATGAAGAATGACCTAGTAGAGAATATAGCTAGCCAAGCTCATTACAATTCTTTTGCGTCTGCCACTAAACATGTATTGTAAACGCAAGTTTAAAATATACGGTTTCGTACTCGAACGTTTATGCTCTCCAAAACGGTTCGAGAATTTATGTTATTTTACATTCAATTATAGATCTCATTGATTCCTGCAATTGCCGAGAGCGTGGGCATTCGTATTTTTGTATGAAATCTATTTTGGTGGATAAAAACATGTCTGTACTGTTTCACAATGGCACGCGTTGCAATCAACATGGACATTATAAAGACGCCGCGCTATATTTAGCGCGCACTGTTGAGTTTTATTGCAAAAACTAAAAAATAACACACAACAGTGCCAGTTTGGCAATCTTTAAAAACAACAGTATATAAATATTTATCGAAATTGATTCAGTATAAAGTAAACCAATCCAGTTTCGCTCCGCTATTTTTTTGGTGTTTTTCAGCGCGCCAGCGGTGTATTTTTTTCCGACCGGATCCCATGTTTATCTTCGTGTTATCTTTAATAGATAATTTATACAATACATACAGAGCTTCTAAAAGACATCGATTATCTATCTTCCATCTTCAAGTCAGACCTTCATATAAACAGCAACTTCAAATGAAGTTTTAATTTATATATTTATTATTGCATTCATCTCCAGAATATCATAAAATAATACATTTACCAAAGGGAGAGTTTGTACAAAAGTCGATTGCTTGGGTACCTCTGTTCCATTCGTGTTTCAACCGTGAAGCATTTGTGTATGCATGGCTGTGTTTCGGTTTGAAGGGTGGGATATCGCGTGAATTTACTGGGTACAAAGGAATAACACCTGAGTCCTCAGGAATGGCAACGTATGGGTGGTATCATGGGCGAAACAGTATACTCTGTTATGTGCATGGTACTGCTCATGTCTATAGGCGACGGTTACCACTTTACATCAGGTGGGCCGTCAGCTTGTTTGCCATTCTAAGTTGTATAAAAAAAATCATAAAATGTGAATCTGAACTTTATGATAATTAGAGATTTTTCACAAAAAAAACAAACAATTTCAATAGTGACAAAATTAATATGGTAAATCTTATTAATTATATAAAAAATTCCCGTGTGGTCCCGGCAAAGAATAGGCCACCCCTTCCTTTCCCGTGGGTATTGAATAGGCGACTAAGGGAAGGCGAGGGATGGGCAGCAGCGTTCCTCTTGAAACATCTTCAAAGCCTACCTAACTGCGGTTGCCATGGAGGAAAGGGATTGTTAGCAATGGAGTTTAACAACCCTATTGCTGGAAATCTGCCCTATTAGTTCGACCTCCACGTGGTTCCCCTTGGAAACCATCGTGAACAATTCTTGTTGAATTCGTCACGATGGGCTAACTGACCTGCTTCATCCTCACTTATCATCCTTCACTGGTGCCCCGCCGGTGTATACCGATAGCGCGGGTGGGTTACCATTTCATTATCACCCATTAAAAATACTGCGGTTTGTCCAATCCACCTGCCAAGCGTGGTAACTACTGACAAAGCCCCCCTGGGGGAGACTTATGTTCAGCAGTGGACAGTTAAAGGATGGTATGATGATGATTTTTTTTTTATACAACTTAGAATGGCAAACAAGCTGACGGCCCACCTGATGGGAAGTGGTGACCGTCGCCTATACACATGAGCAGTACCATGGACATAACAGAGTATACTGTTTCGCCCATGATAACCCCCATGCGTTGCCATTCCTGAGGACTGATGATACAAAGAATTATCAATATTGATTAAAAATTAGTGAATATATTACGTCACGTAAAAGTATAGGCCAGTTAAATAGCTTGTCTTAAGAAATCGCATTAAAAGGCGTAATAAAAAACGGAACTGCTGTAACACGGGAGTAAATAAGCAAGGGCTTATTTACTCCCGTGTTACAGCAGTTCCGTTTTTATTTGTGAAAAATTTTTAAATAAGGAATTAAAATTTTTTCACAAATAAAATTAGAAAAAATGTCATACGACGTTAAGGTACATACAAATAGACAATGCGGTTGCTCTGCGAGCCTCCTTTTGAAGTCAATTGAAAACCGGAATCATTTCGGTACTGACAGCGCCGTTTGTGCTGCAAACTGGAGTTTCGTCGAACGACTCCTTTACAAGTAGGCGTGTATTTCTCTTGTAACGGCTACCAAGTATTATTTTCCCATCGTATCTAATTGTGAAAACGTCCGTCGTACGACCAGACAGGCGAGATATGAAGGTTGTATAATTGATTTATTCGTCCGTCCATTATAAATTGTGCCGGTGAAATGAGATATTACACTGCTAATGGGGTCTGAATATTATGATGTGGGTTGACAGTGCCCACTGGCACGAGGCGGGCCGTACGCCGGAATGGTACAGAAATGATCTTTATATAAATCGACATGTCTACAAGCTCTTTCGCACTGTCAATGGATCTCAATTCGTTTTTATTTTATATGTTTTACACATGTTTTAGTTTTTTTTTCTGAGTTGATTTTAGTATTTTTTTTTTCTAAAAGGATTTATTCTGGTGATGAATTCATGTTGTTGTACAAATCGGTAGTTATTATTGCATTGCGGAGTATTTGTAAATGCTGAGTGGTCCCGGAATAGAATAAGTCACTTCTTTTGTTTTTTATGCAACTTAGAATGTCAAACAAGCTGACGGCCCACCCGATGGAAAGTGGTAACCGTCGCCTATAGACATGAGCAGTACCATGGACATAACAGAGTATTTTGTTTCGCCCATTTATTGCCAATCCTGAGGACTCAGGTGTTATTGCTCTGTACTCTGTATATTCACGCCATATCCCACCCTTCAAACCGAAACACATCCATGCAAACACAATTGCTTCCCGTTAGAAACACGAATGGGACAGAAGTACCCAAGCAAAAGAATTTTGTACAAAGACTCCCTCTGGACTGAAGCTGACCAAAGGAGGGCAAGGTATGGGCAGCAGCGTTACTCTTAAAACATCTCCAGGGCCTAACTGCGGTTGTCAGGCGGATTGCCAAGCGTAGCAACTACTGGCAAAACACCTCAAGGTGAAGGCTTATGTCCAGCAGTGGACAGTTGAAGGCGATATGACGATGATGATGATACACTCTATGTCTTCTATAATTTTATATTAGACTAGCTTTTTGACCGTTACTTCGCACGCGTGGATTTCAGAAGTAGTATTTAACAAATAATAAACAAATATTACCTAACAGATTTTAAGTTAGATACTTAAGAACTGTAAGTAACTAACTAATAATAACATGGACAGAGGTACCCAAGCAATCGACTTTTGTACAAAGTCTCTCTCTGGTGAATCTCTTGTCTCATATTATATAAAAAAAAAATCGATTTTAATTGTAACAAAACCAATTTATTTTGATTTAAAAATAAAACTACTAAACTCATTTCGATGAAAATTCTATGGGACTAATTTGGAAATGTATCTTTTCAAATAAAAGACGAATTTTTCCAAATCGATTTTCTGATCTGACGGAGTAATGAGGTAACTAACATAAAAACTTACAACCGAATCAAGAACCTTCTTCTTTGTCGGTTGATAATGCGGAATAAAGTCACCAGGGGGAGACTTTGTACAAAAGTCGATTGCTTGGGTACCTCTGTCCCACTCGTGTTTCTATCGTGAAGCAGTTGTGTTTGCATAGCTGTGTTTCGGTTTGAAGGGTGGGATATGGCGTGAATTTACAGGGTACAGAGGAATAACATCTGAGTCCTCAGGAATGGCAACACATGGGGGGTGTCATGGGCGAAACAGTATTCTCTGTTATGTCCATGATACTGCTCATGTTTATAGGCGACGGTTACTATTTTCCATCAGGTGAGCCGTCAGATTGTTTGCCATTCTAAGTTATATATAAAAAAAACTAAAGTACCGTCAAAATGGAATATCTACAATGAAAATGAAAGCTAAACTCGTACAAGATCACCTGTGAGCTCTTTTTATAGTTCGACCATTTTAACTCCAGCAAAACATATCGATCCGATCTTACCATAAACACACATCCATAGCGCTCCGAACGGAAATAGATCACATTGCCTACTGCGAAAGTACATTCCCTGATTTTCTGCTGTCAATAATTCATAGACAATAAAATGCCCCTTGGAAAGTGCTTCTAACGTCGTCACGTGATCTATGCACTATAATAAAGGGAGAGGCATTCGTTTCACCGCAGGCGATTTCGCAAGAATTGAAACAGTCGCTACCAGCATTGAAAAATAATAAATCGGGCCGTTGGGCTCCCTGAAATATGGTCGAATCATCTGAATGGCCACCTCATCCGTCATACACGGAAACGGTCGCTGCTGGTAGGGGTCGATATGTAAAAACACTGGAATTGATTGGAAAATTTTATCCTTTTTACATACAAATGGAAAACAAGGAGACGGTCCCTATTGTTTTTTTAAGTATACCACTTCGATTGATGTTTTCACCCGCAACTTGGTTCACGTGACGAGGATTTATTTATTGTTTGGAACAATAATCCAAGAGGTAAGGATTGATATGTATCACCTCTTCGTTCCTTTAAATCGCTCATTGCTAGTGGTGAAGGGGAGAAGGCGTAGACAACGGAAATAGACTATGATTCACGGCCCGGACAATAACGATATCGGAGCGCGTCCTGATTATTTATAGTGCAATTGTCGTCCCCCCACTATATCGGGCGCAGCCATAAATTGGCGATTGATAATATTTATATCTTTGTTTTCGTTATCAACGCGACTTATGATAGTTCTTTGTTGTAATTATGGCGGGGAGTTGCTCTCTATCATTACAACACTACTATTGGATCATCCATGATATATGGGAGCCACTACGCCATATATATTGGATGGTGTGCTTTTTAGAGCAACTTCCGAAGGAATGTTCCCATTTGGCTTGTATTTTTTTGGGAATTTGGTTATTCATTTTTAAATGGATAGGATTTATTCTCTGTTCTTTTTGTTATGAAGGATGCATTGTTTTTATTTTATATGGAGCAATTGACATTTACTCGTAATATGTTTAGACTTTATATAAAAGTTATCAGCATAGGTACTTTTGTCTATTTCATTTTTTATGTCATTAAGTAGTTGTTCAATTCATTCGTTCAATATTTAAAATCGGTTTATAGCTCACGTTTCCATGAATAAAATGGTATATTTATAATAAAACTGTTTTAAATTTATTAAAAATTTCGATGATGGTGAAATAGTGCCTTTAAATCGACCCCAGTATCTATTAATTGGATTTCCCTGCTTACCCCATATGGGAACTGGCGGTAATTGCAATGAAAAGTCAAAATAAAATACCCAATTAACAAACAAAACGAATAATTGAAGCTCAGTTCGATATTTCTCAAAATACGATTGCATTGTATAAATTTATTTCGCCCTCATTCAACAGCATCTCGTTAGATTGTTTAAAGCACTATTCCTCGATATTTCAATTGAATTACCTCTAAATAGTCCAAGTTTACAAACGGGCCATTGTTCCGTTCCGCAAATGCGGCGAGTGTGCTGTAAATTCTAAATTGTATAAATGTATTTGAAAACAATGAATTGTTTGCTAAACAGGGAGTGACTGGATCTGTCAGCCCCGGTAGAACCGGAGCGGAGTGATGGACGTGAAATGAAATTAAAAAAACACTGGCTCGTTTATTTAGGGACTATGGGCGTGCTCCGGCGAGCTCTGTTGTCTTAACGCCTTGCCTTTTTTCCCTTCTATAACGTTTCAGAGTCTAATGACGAATGGAATGTGTAATGCAATATTTTAATGTTTCTAAATTTGTAAACATATTGTTTGTAGAGGATATAAAAAGAGACACCATTTGTGAACAAACATAAACCATAATATACAGATTAATAACTGGTTTTTTCGTAGACATACTAATATATTAAAATAATTCTATGATAGACACATTAGATTTAAAATACTTGTAATACCATAAGTACAAAACGAACTGCGTCAATAGTCACAAAATTAATATAGAAACAACGCAAAAGTAATTCTTATCGATTGCAAAAGGTATTTTCAAAATTGATTTAAAATCAGGAAACTAAAAAAAAATAGTCCTTCCGTTTATGCAAATCGCTTATTTTTTTGTATATTACTTCAGTCGGTATATTTTAACTGTAAGATTAATTGCAGACAACGTGTATTCTAGTCGAGAATGCTCGACTAGTTTAGAGCCCATTCGGGAATCTTTATTCAGTATATTTCTAGCGTCCTTAGTACGAAGGGGAATTGGTCAGAAAAAAAATGGATGGACTGTAAGAAAACGATATGTGTTTGAGGTGTGACAAACGAGACGATCGAGTCCGATCAGAAAGGTAAGCAAAAATATAATGCTGCTGACTCTAATTAATGGTTTGAGGAAATATCATGATAATTTGATGAAGTCATTAAAGGCACATAACTTAAACATTATATTTGAAAAATATTATATTCTAATAATCAAAGGAATATCTTACATATTTTAGAATGTTTACAGTCCCCGATAATTTTCAAATATATAATACACATTGTGATGTGCAGGTTTTTCACTTCATTACACTAAAAGTTCTTGTTGACTTCAGTTTTTGTATCACTTTGTCCACTCTCAAATTCTTCTTCCACTTTTAGAAGCACGTCCAGTACTTGTTTCTTAACCTGATACTGTAACTTCCGTGGCAGTCTCTTCGTACTCTGGCATACGCTGGCGAAGAACAAATCTAGGGAATCCTGGTCAGTGGTTGGGTTCCCTGGGTCCCATATTTCTGATTCTTGGTCTGACTGTACTTCTGTTTCTACTACTTTAATGTCATCTCTTATGTGTCTCTGGTTCCTGCAAATGGTAAATTTCTTAATAAAAAACTATTAGTTATTTATAGACATGAGAGTGTATATTACTCCGAGCTGCGGACGCCAAAGGTCATAGGGTCGAATCTGGCCGATACCAAAAGTTTTATGTTTCAACTCTGGTAATGGGAAACATCAATAGCATGCCAAAATAATAAAAAAAGAAGTATTGGCAGTGAGTTCGTTTCCGTCGCATTGGAGTCTAATATGCTCGGCGAGATGTGGGCATGTCGAATGCTTGTTCACCATAATGGCAATAGTTGACACATGCTCCTGACTACCCTTTTGTAGCCCTTACATGATTTTTTTTATATATAAATAATTCAAAGTTTAAATCCTAGGGATACTGTAAGGCATACTGTATAGCAAATAGGTAACGGTCGTTTGTAGATATAAATGTTACATAGACTATTATGCGTTGTTATATCACAAAACATGTGATATTAATCCACCTGCAACTACATACTTAAAACAAACAATACAAAAATTGGAGCAAGACCTGAATCGTCCTTATCGTAATATAGAAGATTTTATAGATACCCACATTGTAGATAAAAATATTTGTACCCAGTGTACAAGTACACAAGTCAATGAACCTCGTCTTTCAGCGGGAGACGGCCCACCTTGACGTCAAACTCGTCAATTCACCGCCACAATCAAGGCAGTGGAGCAAAAATAATTTATTGCACGCGCTCTCTTGTGTAAAATTGCAAATACCTTGCAGTGACTGGAGGCTTCTTTTGAGAGAAAAATGGGGATTAGAGGATTTCATAGTCGTGAAGCGTGGCGTCTTTATATGGCGACGCAATCTATGTATGACGATGGAAAATCTTTCATCTTTAGTTATATGGCCTACTAAAATTAGTTTGAAGCAAAATTCCGGTTTGTTTTTTTTTTTATTATACCAGTATCTGAAGGTATCTAGTGTGTATTTAATAAAACACAGAAATAACTGGAACCATATGGATGGGACTTTTTTTTAGAAGCGAGAAAACACGTGATATTTACATAGAGCAGTTTCTTCCTAAATGGTTTATTTTATTAAGTTTTTTCTTTCTTCTCTATTGTTCTTCATGTTTTTATGCTATTTAATGTATTATATAATATTTATAAACTTAGAAAATTCTACTTTCGTTTCAAAAGAGTATCAGCCGAATTTTTTGGCTAGAACTGAACGGTAAAAACGTACAAAATTAGTATTCAAGAACCTTTAAAACAAGTTTATATAAAAAAAAGCGTATTTATTCCGTAATGTATTAGGACTTACCGTCTGACGGTCATGTAAGGTAATAAATATGACATTCTACTCTCGAACCGCCACTTCTTGCACGGAGTACCCGATTTAGTCGTGGCGCCTTTCTTGGACCGCTTCAGAGCTTGCCGCATGGAATCTCTTAAGATTTTCCATTCCCGTTTTAGGATCTCACCTGAATAGGAAACATAAAATAGATTTAGAAGCTCCAAAAGTAAATATGTTGATTTATATTGAATTTAAGAAGCGGATGGATACTTGACCACACTGGGCACTTAACATATTTATCGACATAAACAATAAAAGTTACTCAACGGGCAATGGAGAGGGCTATGCTCGGACTCTCTTTGCGTGATAGAATCCGAAATGAGGATATCAGTAAAAGAACCAAAATAACCGACATAGCCCAAAGGATAAGCAAGCTGAAGTGGCAATGGGCTGGTCACATAGCTCGAAAAACCGACAACCGATGTGGAAGAAAGGTTCTTGAGCGACCACGTACGGGTAAATGCAGTGTAAGAAGACCTGTAATGCGTTGCAGGGAGTCAGTGGATGCAGGTAGCTCAGGACCGTTCTTTATGGCAATCTGTGGGGGAGGCTTAAGTCCAGCAGTGGACGGATGATGGCTGAAATGAATGAATGAAAAAAAACAATAAACATAATTTATCGTCGCATCGTCCTCTGCATTTTTGCGGTCAAGCGACGTTGCCATATTGAGTATTTTCTTTCGCAATTTTGATTAAAATTTTTTCGTGTTCGCGAAATTCTAGATAAAAGAAATTCCTCGAGATATTTGGGGAAAAGTTAAATGGGTTTGGTGCAATTTGCGTAATATTTTTAACAGTTTTGGCAACTTGTAAATCCCACAGCTGTGTATAAATACCACAAAGTACACCAATAAAGGTAATAAAACATAAGGAAGATAAGGGAAGTGTGAGTGGAGGGCCTTTTTGTTTTTCGATGCTCAATTTATGATGTAGTGAAAATCGAAACAAGTTTATGGTTGGACAAAAATTAATGACATCATATCGACTTATAGAAAAAGAATTGCACATTTGAGTAAAATAGTACCTGGCAAGTCTGCCGTTTCCATTGCTGAGTTTTGATTCCAAGAAGAACGTCCTTAGAAATGGAAACTAATAAGGGATATATATGGACATCACAGGGTGTTTTGTAATGTACATGGTATTGTTTATGTCTATAGGTGAGGGTTACCACTTTATATTTGGTGCGCTGTAATTTTTTTGTTATATAAGAAAGCGTGCTGGGCCCATAACCTGTTCATAAGTAGATCTATGATTTTAATTTTAAAACATAATAGCCTATAATACGAATGACAAGTGCGCATGGTATTAGTCGATCATGCACGAACTTTTTAATGACCAGTTAAATAAATATACGTATACTTATAATATATGTATATGTTAACAGAGATTTAAAAGAGTAACTGTTGAGTTTCTTGCGGGCTTTTCACAAAAGATAACAACTTTCCGAACCCTGCAGTAAATTATAAGTGCTTGTAAACAAGTCTGTTTGATTAATAATGGTTTTTTTTCTATACAACTTAGAATGGCAAACAAGCTGACGGTCCACCTGATGGAAAGTGGTAACCGTCGCCTATAGACATGAGCAGTACCATGCACATAACATAGTATACTGTTTCGCCCATGATACCCCCCATGCGTTGCCATTCCTGAGGACTCAGGTGTTATTCCTCTGTACCCAGTAAATTCACGCCATATCCCACCCTTTAAACCGAAACACAGCCATGCAAATACAACTGCTTCACGGTTGAAACACGAATGGGAGAGAGGTATCCAAGCGACTTTTGTACAAAGTCTCCCTCTGGTGGTTTGAATTTGAATTTAAATAACGTTGGATAGTAGAGTCACTAACTATTGGTGCCGAGTCGTTCGGATATCTCGTGCCAGCACTGGTCGCGCACGTCGATGTCGCGGTGGCTCTCGTGCCTCGTGTCGTACAGCACCGGGTACTTCTTCACCTCGTCGATAAGTTTTTCCCTGCATTGTCTGCTATTCAATTCCATTACTTATTGGGGCACGCTAAAATATGATAATTAAATATAGAAGGACGCGTTAATTACGGATGAATTTAAATAAATAGGTGATCACTGTGGTTGCCAATAGGTTTGCCAAGCGTGGCAACTACTGAGAAACCCCTATTATGGAAGAGGCCTATGTTTTACAGTGGACAGTTGGTGATATTGAAATATGTGATTAATATTTGAAACTGATTTATCATTTACTTGAATACTTTGTACAACTTATGATTGGTAACACATTATCCAATTTCCAATACAATAAAGACAGACAGACCAGAGGGAGACTTTGTACAAAAGTCGATTGCTTGGGTACCTCTGTCTCATTCGTTTTTTAACCGTGAAGCAGTTGTGTTTGCATGGCTGTGTTTCGGTTTGAAGGGTGGGATATGGCGTGAATTTACTGGGTACACAGGAATAACACCTGAGTCCTCAGGAATGGTAACGTATGAGGGGTATCATGGGCGAAACAATATACTCTGTTATGTCCATGGTACTGCTCGTGTCTATAGGCGACGGTTACCACTTTCCATCAGGTGGGCCGTCAACTTGTTTGCCATTCTAAGTTGTATAAAAAAAATAACCTCATTACCATCATATCAGTCGTTAACGGTTTACTGCTGATCATAAGCCTCCCCCATAAAGGGGGTTTTGCCAGTAGTTGCTATGTTTGGCAGGCGGGTTGGCAACTGCAGTTAGGGTTTGGTGAATTATTGAGAGGGACGCTGCTGTCCATTCCTGAACCTTAAGTTCCCTTAGTCGACTCTTTCGACACCCACGGGAAAGGAAGGGGTGGTCCATTCTATGCCGGGATCATACAATATTTCCATACTTTAACTAAAACCGAAGTCTGTTTAAAAATATACCCTTGAAGTTTTTTTCTATAAAAAGTATGCGATATTTCAACCGACTTAAAAACGAAGAGGTTCCCAATTCGGTTGTATATTTTTTTTGTTTTTTTTTCTAATAACTCTGTAAACTGATTTCGAAAATTCTTTTATAATGTGAAAGGATGTACTTCCAGACTGGTACCATAAAATCTTTATGAACTTCGGGTCAGCAGGTTAGTTTTTAATCAAAAATTGTGAAATTTTTCTGTGAAACCTTAATTATAATAAAAGTTTATAAAATAGTGCATAATTTGTTTGAAAATGGTAATAATTTAATCTTATTCGAGTAATTTATTTATTACGATAATGAATTTGTTAATATGGGGACTACAAGCCCCATTGCTAGCAATATACCTTGTTAGGTCGATCTTTCAAATCAATGAAACTCAAAAGCCATCATACTGAATTCCAAATCACCTACGATGGGCTAACTGACCTGCCTTGGGGGGAAAGGGATTGTTAGTAATGGAGTCTCCCATTGCTAGCAATATATCCAACCAGGTCGACCTCCTCGCGGTTCTCCCTGGAAACTATCAGGATATATATAGGAAATAACCATTTCCTGATGAATTCATCATGATGGGCTAACTGGCCTGTTTTCATTCTCATCTATCACCCTTCACTGGTGCTCCGCTAGCGTATCCCGTTAGCGCAGGCGGGGCTACCAAATCATTTTCACCCATCAAAAAAAAAAAAACTGACCTGCCTTTTCATTCTCATCTAACATCCATTATTGGTGGCGTATACTTACCCATTAAGAAGGCCCTTTATTCGGAATACAATACTTTATTTTCGAAATCCATTCCGTACAAAATAATAAAAAAAAAAATTCTAAAATAAAGGCTTTACACAGTAATTAGCGACATCTTACATAATCTATACGTATAATAAATCTGTAGAGAGGTCAATTCTGTACATGAAATATATTTCCAAAATAACTATCAGCGGGTGATTAGTGATCGATACTGATGCCAAAAATGCAATCAGTAAAATTTTTGTCTGTCTGTCTGTATGTTTGTTATAGAAACAAAAACTATTCTCCATTTTTAAGCTTCCGTCGCGCGTGCAGCCTAAACTTTTTAAATTGTAAAAATGTCCATCTGTGCGACGCCGGGACGGGCCGGTATACCGATAGCGCAGGCGGAGTTACCATTCCATTGTCATCCATTAAAAAAAAAAACATGTGGGTTCCTTACCCCATAATACTTTTTAGTAATTACACTTTTCTCCATTACACGACAAAGCTTACTTACTTAGAATAAAGAAACAAATTCGTTTCGTGTTCTGAGCTAACTTACTTTCAAAGCGAAGTAAATAATTTTATTATGTTGGTACCAACACTACCAACCTAATAATATAATAAAATACATACCTACGTACAGTAAACAGTAAAATACTTACATCAAGTTAATTTTATTATGTTGGTACCAACACTACCAACCTAATAATATAATAAAATACATACCTACGTACAGTAAACAGTAAAATACTTACATCAAGTTAATTTTATTATGTTGGTACCAACACTACCAACCTAATAATATAATAAAATACATACCTACGTACAGTAAACAGTAAAATACTTACATCAAGTTAATTTTATTATGTTGGTACCAACACTACCAACCTAATAATATAATAAAATACATACCTACGTACAGTAAACAGTAAAATACTTACATCAAGTTAATTTTATTATGTTGGTACCAACACTACCAACCTAATAATATAATAAAATACATACCAACATACAAAAAACAGCTAAATATGATACTTACATGAAGGCGTTTTATCACTTATTCTTTGACTATTTTTCTACGGTATAAATTCATTATCACGACCGCTTTAATCACAGGTTAAAGAAATAACAGATTGTGAAGTTTTTTTGTTAACCAAATTGGAAGGGGCGGCCGACGCGGGCCCCTCGCAGCGACGCGCAAGCGATACTGAGCGAGACGAAGCGATGTATTGAACGCGACGTTGCCGCTCCGCGCCGTGATAGCTGTATCGCACATCGCGCTCAGTGGGCGCCGTGGCTTAACATAGATGAGGCGGTGTACAAATATAACAGATGGGTAAGTAGGCACATTATGGATGAGGTTTGAAAACATATTTATTACTTTTGAAATATGCTTCTCAAATTTTTGTAGCTTTTTTTTATATACAACTTATAATGGCAAACAAGCTGACGGCCCACCTGATGGAAAGTGGTAACCGTCGCCTATAGACATGAGCGGTACCATGGACATAACAGAGTATACTGTTTCGTCCATGATACCCCCCATGCGTTGCCATTCCTGAGGACTCAAGCGTTATTCCTCTGTAGTGCTTTTTCTAAATTTAATTATAGTGGCATTCTTAAAAGGCCGGCAGCACACCTGCAATGCCGCTGGTGTTGTGGGTGATTATGGGCGGCGGTAGTCACTTACCATCAGGTGAGCCGCATGACCGTTTGCCCCCTGTGTTGTAAAAAAAAAAATATTTCGTATGTATTATCGTAGTTTCTCGAAACGATTCAATATGAACAAATCACGATGATTACTAGAGGAAACCGCGTGAAGATCAACTTGTCAATTAAATTGATAGTAATATTGGATCTTATGGCCTAATGATAAACTTGGAATTGTTATTCCAGCCATTAACTGTCCATTGCCGGACATAAGCCTTCCCCATAAGGAGGGTATTAATAATAGTTGCCACACTTGGCAGGCAGGCTGATAACTGCATTTAGACATAGTTGATATTTCAAGAGGGACGCTGCTGCTTAACTTTCAACCATTTAGTTCTCTTAGTTGACTCTTATGACACCCACCTTGTGGACCATATAGCTAATAGGTACCATGTAGCATAATACCTATCTGCAGCATGATAATTCTATGGCCAACTACTGATCAGACTGGTAGGCGTCGATGCGAGCTCGCGTCGATCGCACGCCGTAACCGCTGTCATATGGGTTTTAAAATTATAACTTTTAAGTTTAAAAACTTGTTATTTAATATTATAAACAATGTTTTAATAGTTTTTTCCAGTAGACAGTAGTACTACCGTGTGGTCCCTGCATAGAATATATGGGGAAGAAAATTTCTTGAGTGGCGACCGCGTACGGACCAAGACTGTAGGACAATCCCTGTGTAGGGGGGGAAAGGGATTGTTGTTGTAACGTAGACTGAGAATCCCATTGCTAGCAATATACCCAACCAGGTCGACCTCCTCGCGGTTCTCCCTGGAAACTATCATGGTTAATTCCTGATGAATTCATCATGATGGGCCAACTGGCCTGTTTTCATTCTCATCTATCACCCTTCACTGGTGCTCCGCCAGCGTATCCCGTTAGCGCAGGCGGGGTTACCATACCATTTTCACCCATAAAAAAAAACCCTTTGCAGGTCTATATTCAATAGTGGTCAAATAATGGCTGATGTGATAATAATCTCTGAAATTAAAGTATCAATATTGATATTTCAATCAGAAGAAATACTTATATATTTTTTTTTAAAAATGACCCCCTCCTTGCTTCTAATTGCTGGGTCTACAATATACTTTATTAATTATTAACGTCTTTCACAATAATATTGTAGAATGCAATAAGTAAATTTAATTAAATTGAAGTCCTGAAGATTGTTTGAAATAATTTGATAGTGCCCTATCAATAAAATTTCTAAGAACCGATGTGAATAATTTTTCATATAGTCAGAATTATGATAAATTTACTTTATGATAGTTCACGAAACAGTAATGGGCCGAATTATCGAATCAAAATAGACTATTTATTCTATTAGACTATTAGTCTATTTAGACTTCTAAGCCTATTTATTCTCTTAAACTATTTCTGAATAGTTTGGGAGAAATAGCGCCTCGGATCGACCTCGCTGTGTGATTTATTAATTAAGATTGTGTTCCACAAACGTCGCTTTTTGTAGACAAGACACAAAAATAGAAGCGACTTCCGATGCGGCAAAACCTGTGATTTTGATTCAAAAACTAAACTACCGATCTCACTTCGATACAATTCTCATGTGACCAATCTGTAAATATAATAATAATATAATAAATAAATTCTTTAATCAAGGCAACCAGGGATTTTAATACACAAAATTTTAGCAATATTAGCTTGTACCAGATATAAATTATTAAATCAAATTTTGACACCGTATAATAAATAACATTAACTTAACCTACTTTTTTTGTACATTAGCCAGCATGTGAATCATTCTGCAACGATTCAAATACTGGCAGTCTGGACGGTCTGCAAACACCCTCAGGATGTCCCGGACCCTACGCATCAGAGAGGTGCACCGCTTTCGCGTAGTAGCGTAGAAACAATCAACACGTGCCTCGGCGAACATTTCCGATGCACTACAAAACCGGGACAGCCCCAAACAGTACCCTAAACGCATATTGGACTCGTAGGGCGCTGTACTGTCTCTGAGTATAAAAAGCCCACAGACTTCTCTTGTAAAAGGACGTATAAAATGCTCTAAAAAGAGTGATTTTGATGTCCCTTGAACAACGTAAAAAGAAATACAACTAAATAGTATTAAAATATTGTCACTATTGAAGTCGGTTAATAAAATATGTCCCCGTATTTTTTATGATAACAGTAATAACCGTATAGTTAAATATACCGAAACAATTCGCAAGTTCAGAGGGAGATTTTGTACAAAATTGGTTTGCTTGGGCATTTCTGTTCCATTCGTGTTTCTACCGTGAAGCAATTGTGTTTACATGGCTGTGTTTCGGTTTAAAGGATGGGATATGGTAGTGACTTTATAAGGTACAAAGAGTCAGGAGTGGCAACGCATGGGGACTATCATAGACGAAACAGTATACTCTGTTATGTCCTTGGTATTGCTCAAGACTATAGGCGACGGTTATCTCTTTCCATAAGGTGGGTCGTCAGCTTGTTTGCCATTCTAAGTTGTATAAAAAGTTAAATAAGAAATCTTCATCGCTGCAAGAATAATGCAGAGATAGCATTAAGAATCGTTTCCATTATTTTATCATCAGCCAATTTCTATTTGGGGCGCTACAATTTCTATGTTCAATGAGTTGTACCAGGTAATAGACATAATTCATACACGACATTAATATCTTCCACAATCTATAAATAATTCCCGAATCCCTTTTGGGACGGAAATTAGAGGATAACTGAAAACGAACGTTTAGTCCCCACAAGATGTCGTTAATGTCCTTCGAACTTATTGCCGACAGCACAATACCCGTTTTGCCATATCAAATGAGTTACAATAACTTCACTGGAAGAATGGACAAACTTGGTCGTGCGAGCTCAGAAGATCCTATTGCCAAGACGTAAGGTTGATAATTCATAATGTGTGCTCTTGTGCCGAGTGGATCTCGAGGTGGATCTTTGGTAAGTTATTTATTATTTCAGATCTTAATTCCGGGAGAGAAGATTCCGTTTACTTTGAAGTTGGTGAACTCAGTGGCTGTGCAGTCAACCCCGTTGGGTAAACTTTAGGTATGGTATTTATATTGACGTAGCTTTTTGTTCGCTACGTGGAGACCGGTCCAGCTGACATCGTAATTCTGTAATACATAACATTATTTCAGTGTACTGTTTTGTTATTTTGCTAAAATAGGCGACTGTCGTTTTTTATGCAACAAGAAATGGCAAACAAGATATAAACAGCATAATCGTTGTTAACAGTATAATCGATGTTACAGAATGCAGTTTATGCCCATGGTACTCCTAACCCTCATGCGTTTCCATTCCTGAGCATTTAAACCTTGTAAGGTGTACTAAGATTCCGTACCCTGTAATTTTAATATCAAAATCAAAGTTGATAGTATCATCAACACAAGGTGTGTTCTACCGGCGAAACTAAACATTTTCGCCAAAAAAGAGGAATTGAAAAACGTGAAATAATTTGGAATCTTCAGTACTAACTTTTGAATGTTTGAGTTACGAAATTTCCTAGTATATTCAATATAATGGATTAATTCTTAGTTTTATATACCACCGTGGCACATTGCTGGATATTTTTCTTTGCGTAGAGTATCCAGATTCAATTCAAGGCGTGCCTATTTAGAAAATAAACTTTTCTGAATTGGTTCGGATCTAGAGATTCTGGGTATCTTAGCTTGAGGATAAATCAATTAGTGTAATAGTGTTTTTTTTTATACAACTTATGGTAGAATTTCAAACAAACTGACGGCCCACCTGATAGAAAGTGGTAACCGTTGCCTATAGACATAAACAGTACTATGGACGTAACAGAGTATACTGTTTCGCCCATGATAACGCCCATGCGTTGCCATTCCTGAGAACTCAGATGTTATTTCTCTGTATCCTGTAAATTCACGCCATATCCCACCCCTCAAACCGAAATACAGCCATGCAAACACAACTACTTCACGGTAGAAACACGAATGGGATTGAGGTACTCAAGCAATCGACTTATGTACAAAGTCTCCCTCTGGGAGATTACTGTTATGATCATATTAGTTTCTTGCTCGTTACTTCGTAATCGTGGATTTCACGAAGTAGGAGAATCAGTGAAGTAGATTTTTAGTTTACCTTCAAGGAAACAATTGTGAAAACCGTATTTAATTTGGTACAGTAGTTTTTGCGTGATGCCAGAATAAATGAACGGTCTCACAGACAAAATTAAAAAAAATATATTATTTTGGCTTCTATTGCTTCTATCCTTTTATGACTCCTAATATCAACTTTTCTTAAATATTTCCCACGTACAGACATCGTTTAGTTACAGTTTTGTTATGTTATATTATATACCATTCAACCGTGAAGCAGTTGTGTTTGCATGGCTGTGTTTCGGTTTGAGGGGTGGGATATATGGCAGTGAATTTACAGGGTACAGAGGAATAACACCTGAGTTCTCAGGAATGGCAACGTATGGGGGGTATCATGGGCGAAAGAGCCCTCTGTTATGCCCATGGTACTGCTCATGTCTATAGGCGACGGTTACCACTTTC